GAGGGAGCGGGTGTCGGAGCGCAAGTGGCTGATCGCTTGAGTTTTGCATAGCCCTCCCTCTTTCCTTTCTCTTTCCCGCCGGTCCTTTCTCTTCCCTCACCCAAGAATTTGAGTATGCCACTACTCAGAATCAACCCTTGGCGACCCCACGTCCAAGTTCTTCTTTTCTTTCCCTCTGTTCGGTCCCTTGTCACGTGCCCGCACTCTTTCTCCCCTCTTCTTTCGCCCTCCCTCTCCCCAACACACTCCTGGGAATAAGCACTTTCTCCCCTCTTGTTTCTTCCTCCTTCTCCCTAGGACACTTCTATGAATAAGCTCGTCATCACCACGCTGGAATCCACCTTCCACCTTTGGCGGCTGCGGGGTCGCGACCCGTCGGAGACGATGGAAGGCAGGGTAGCAGGGACGGAGGACAAGCCAGAAGGAGGGGTGGTCTCCTCGATCAAGCAGAAGACTCACCACAACGTACGTGGGAGCGGGGTTTGTTCGCTCGTTTTCGGGCTCCCTGTGTCGGGCTACGAATTATTTCACAGCTGCGTCTCACTCATTACGAGCGAAAGGTTTTTAAACTCTTGAAGCTTGCGCACTCCCCCTTTCATGCCTCCTCCTTCTTCACTCCTTCTCGTTGCACTCTAACCCTCGCCCCCCTGACCCCTTCGACCTCCCTCTTGTCATCCCTTCCTCTCCCTAGGCCACGGTCTGGAGTGCGCGGCACCTGCCTCAGAATCGGGACGTTTTTGTCACGTGCGGAGGGGAAGGAGGATTGGCGCTTTGGCAATAGTAAGGAACGGGGGAGGGAGAGGGAGGGGAAGGGAGGGAGAGGAGGAGAGAAAGGAGACCAGCACAGGGAGTGCACAGAAAAACCGAAGCAGGGGGGGCGGGAGTGAAGCAGGAAGAGGCACCTGATTAGTGTAGGACGACTTCAAGACTTGGTATACAAAGACACGTGTCGGGGAAAGGACTCTCACCTATTTCTCTTCCTCCCTTTTTGACTCTCCAACCACAGCCACTACGCCACCCCTTCTTCCTCGTCCTCCCCTTCCACCACCACCCCATCTTCGACCTCTGGCCCCGACCCCGGCGCCCTTTCCCTCCTGAACGCGCGGCTTCTGTCTCCTCAGCCTCTGGTCGCCTTCGATTGGCACAGGGAGAAGACCGGTCTCTGCGCCATCGCCTCTTTGGGTAATGCTTCTGGAACCCTTCCTGCTCCACTGATACGCCCCACCAATCCCATTCTGATGGCACTCCTTTGTCTTCCTTTTTTTAAATAAAGATGGATATTCACCCTTGTGTCTGTCGACTCGTAACGTCGACCCAAAGCCTCCTCCCTCTTTCCCTATTCCGGTAATCGCTCGCCCTCCCCTTCTTCCCACACCCCTTCCCTCTCCTCTAGATCAATGCCTACGCGTTCATCTCGTGACCAGGCTCGCCACGCTATAAAAAAATGGTGAATTAAAATGGATGAACGGAGTGGAAGGGGGTCCCGGGACGTAGGAGAAGGTTGTAGAGGTGGAGAGGATGGAGGAAGGAACGATACATGCGGTCAGGCGGCCCTGTTTATACTTGTTTAAGAACGAATTTTTAATACCTTGTGGAGTGTGGTGCACTCCGTGATCAGTCTGGAGGAATTTCGACTCCTGCTTCTGTCCATTTCTTTTTTGAGGTCCCCTCAACGACTAGCATTGCTTCCAGTGCTGCCAAACTCCTGGTTGGTCGATACCGTCCTTCGTGCAAATCCTATCCCGGCCCTTATCCTATGAGTTATGCACCGTTTTGCGGCCAATATTCCAGAATAATCAACGACGGGAGGCTCGAGGCTCGATGTGGCAGCGCGGAACACTTTTGGGAATGTCTTGACCCTCTATGGTAGCAGAATACATCTTGGGAAAAGCTCTTGGCGTTGCCGTGTCACAGACGCTCTGCTTTTACCAACTGCGTCTACTTCTCACCTTCCGTTTTCTACTTTTCTACTGCGTCCTATGCGGGAGCCTTGTCGCATTTCCTTCCCATCCTCGAAGCCTGCTTCGGTTCTTGACCCCTAATTCGAAGGGCTTTTCCCTGAATTCTCTCTCTGTACCCTAGTTTTCATCCTTTTTCTTTCTTCAGCTAGCCTATTTCTCACCTTGATGGTATCTTTGCAATCTCTACCTGTCCCATCCCATTGTGATTTCTTAGAGCTTATGAGAATGTCAGGCAGCTAGGTGATCAAATGAGCTTTACATGTAGCCACATTTAGCACTAGACCTAAACGTAGGGATGCGGATTAGAGAAGTGATGGGGCTCACTCCTATATGATGAGAAGGCTGCACTCAAGGCCCTAGAGGACTTGTCATTGATACTACCCTCGACGATCCAACAAGCTTGGGGAGAGTTACATCTGACTGGTAAGAAAGATTTGGGCCGTATTCGATCCTCTATCATACAAAGTTCAAAGTTCAAATCTATTGAGATGAGGAATACTCATTGACGAAAACCGTGGTATAACCATGTACTTTCACAACCATCAAATGATCCTTCATATTAGGCTAAATATCGGTACGTAACCTGCTCGTATATTGACCTTCATCTCACTTTTGCTCTTAGTTCCTTTCTTTCTTTTCCACTTAGCCATTGACGCGGCTCTGATCTGTCTTAGGCTGAAGGATTCAAACATCTGAAAACCAAATCGCACAAGCACTTTCTCCCTCGTCGCTCTCTTTGTCGATCCTTGACACCTATATCGATAATCATTTCTCTGTGATATTTTTTTTTGCTTCGGGATACGATAAAATGTTTTCGTGTGTAGGTAATTCCATGTCCTGGTAATGTCTATGTGCTCACAGCATGTGTTATTTTTTTTGCTTCGGGATACGATAAAATGTTTTCGTGTGTAGGTAATTCCATGTCCTGGTAATGTCTATGTGCTCACAGCATGTGTAACATGCGTATGTCTCTTGTGAATCAATCCTACCTCACATGATATACTTTTCTTAAATTCATGAATATTGTCTATTTTCTTAATGAGTAACGTTTCCTTTTCCAAATCTTACTATTTTTTGCAACCTCAACGAGCAAATGACGGGGAGGCCACCAGTTGCAACACGATGCACTCAGAAAAATTCCCAAACCATAATCATCGCACAATTAAATGAAGCATTCCGGACCTCTAGAAATACCCCAGTACCTTAGAGATGAGACGACGCTATGTTATCCATTTCAGTGTCACTAATTATGAAAGAGATTAATCTTCGAAAAGACTAGTACCTTCCCAGGACTATAAATTCCGCGTCCGAATCTCTGCTTGTCCCATCACATACAAGCGGACCTCCGGGAGAATCCACTGAGGAACGGCAATATTTTCCATCAGGGGTTTTGAGGAAGAAATAAGCGCCCATATCTATCCATTCAAATCTGACCTCGCCGACACTGGAGCCACCACATGAAACACGGAGTGTAGGCATAGCGTAGCTGCAAATTTCCCCAGCCGAGTTAATGATTAAGTACATGTTGAGTCCCTCTTCGTTGAATAGGAACTCTGTCGCAATAACGTCTGGAGGAGGAGGACACCGAATCGAGCTGCCAGCTAGACCACAATAACGCTCTGGTAATCTAGCACCAAAAAGGATCCTGGAGCCACTTGCTGGCGGAGTCCCAGGCAAAAAAGTGGTTTCAGTCGAATTTGTGGTTGGCGTAGGAGTTTGCATTACTGAAGGAGCTACACTACTTAGTGCCGTTGGAGTCTCGGTGGCAGCCGCAGTAGGCTTAGCAGTAGGTGTCTTGGTGGGAGCCGCAGTAGGCTGGGCTGTAGGAGTCATAGTAGGAGCTGCAGTAGGCTCGGTGGTAGGTGTCATGGTGGGAGTCGCGGTAGGCTGGGCTGTGGGAGTCATAGTAGGAGCTGCAGTAGGCTCGGTGGTAGGTGTCAGTGGTGGGAGTCGGCGGTAGGCTGGGCTGGTGGGAGTC